TACAAACTAAAATAAAGTCCATAACTCCTCATGCATTATTTTCGCATTGTCATGCCCATGCCCTAACTTTAGTATTAAGCGAAGCGTGCAACAACATAAAAAATTTCGCGCCTCCAGCGGGCTTTTCTGTGTGTATATAAATTGTATGACTTTAGCCTTCCGTGTTCTCCAAGTCACGAGCCGTCACTGTCCAAGTGACGAAGTTTTTTTTTTCTCTTTTGGAAAAAGAAATGACTGATAACGGGATACAGCCTCATAGAATTTACAATATGTACGTAAATATGTATGTACTCAAAACTGTTCAAAACCCTCCAACAATTTTTGCATCGAGAGGAAAAAAATTGGAGATGTCACAGGTAGGTACTGAACGTTGTGAAGATTTCACAGTTTTTCCTTATGATAATGCCATCGGGAGTTTTGTTCCGCCTGCATTAGTTTTTCCCGAGAAAAAATCACAAGGTCGAATACTTTGATGGTGCTCCTCCAGGCACTTTAGAGCTGTTCTACATCAGCACTAGGTATATGATCGGTTACTTATTTATTTGAGTAGATGCGCCATTTTGTAACTTTCGTGGATGCTTCTGCAACAAATAAGTCATTTCTGATCCTTAATGATCAATTCCGCCACGAAATTATAGAAACACTGGAATTTGCCAAGGCCAACGACGAGATAGTGCCCTGTTTTTCTCCTTACTGCATTCACCGAATGTATATCTTTTTTATCCACTTCAGATGTATTATGACCGCGAAATGGATAAAAACATCCTACCAAAAATGTAGGACCAGAAGAGATGTATTTACCTAGCTGAGTTACTGTAAATAAATTGAATAACGACGACGGGCTAGTTGCCAGTAGTTCATCTCATCTCCAGGTAAATCACGAAATGTCCGTTTCTTCAGAAGATACTAATGCTGAAGAACAACTGACGGAAATTGCAGCTGTCAACTCACACAAGCAAATAGATTTACAACCAGGTTCCACTTCTAGAGAAGTTGAAACTCATTACTCACCTTCTAATAATGCCGACAACAAAAATTTGAGAAAAGATACCACTCCTCATTGTCGGATCCATTATTCCTCAAAATTTTGGCAGCAAACCTTGTTAAGCATTCATTGCAAGATCATGATGTATTATTTCATCTCTGTTGGGGCCGATGCTCCTGGAGTCTGATTCTAAAAACCTACCAATGCCAAAGGACAGATAGATATGGCCATTGCTCCAAAAAATAACTATCGAAGAGAAGATAGGCGACATTAACTTTTGCAATCGAAAATATTTTCTACAAAAAAGTACGTACTTAAAAAAATTTTCCCTTATTCAAAATCTCTACTTCTATATGAAAGTCAAGAGTAAAAAGAAGAGTCGATAGTTCGCAGTTTTTTACGTCCAGTCCATAAGTGGAATAAAGGCAACAGTACAGCAGAAACAGAAAAAGAAAATTGCAAATCCCTCAGAAAACAAAAGCCAACAAAACGTGTTAATTTTGAAGACGATAACGTTAGGTCTAAGCCGGCGCCCAGAAATTATAAAGTCGTGCAAAGTAAAAGCAAACGAAACCTGTAATCTTAGATGACGATATTGATCTCGACAAAAATGACGTGGATCCTGAGCCAACCTCTATGAAATTCAGATGTACGTAAGGTCGAAAGCAGGTGAAGCAGACATGTCCAAATTGACAAATTTAGACAATAACGAGTATCTCGACGATCCTTACGCTAATTAAGATGCGTTAGAAGATGATCCAGCTTGCATTTACGACAATGAACTATTTAACCGATCTAGACCAAACGAACATTGGGTGAAGTGTCATCTGTGTTCTAGCTGATGTCATAGTCTTTATGAAGACTCGCCCGCAAGGAAGAAACAAGTCATTTTCGAATTATGCTCGTAAAATTATTATTGTATAGGACGTAGTCACTCACGATGACCAAAATACTGAAACTATTATAATTTTAGTTATTACGATACGTTCAAGAATATACGACATATGCTTCTGATCTCACATGACTTCATATATTTCAAATATTGGCCTTAAGTATGTCTTCTGAAGCACAATTCCTCTAACATGGAAATAGCGGGTAAGATAAAAAATTGATAAATATAACGGAACTAATCAAGTTGCAATATATAAGATTTGAATTTATTAGTTTAATAAACAACCATTGAGGACACCATAATCCTGGCAAATCGAGTTTGTTAGACAATTTTTCAGTAGTTTAATCGAATATGAAATTATTTTCTTTGCTGGATGGAAACTAATATCTCTTACTCTAAACTTGAATATAATTAGTTTTAAACTACTTGTGAAAAAGCACTCAGTATCATCGATTTAGGTTATGTGGGCAAGTTGGAAAATAACAAAGGCTGGTAAGGCGGAAAGGTTTCCATCCTACCCGCGTAGCTGCCGATTAGTGTAAATGGTCAATAAAAACAAAGTCAAAAAGATACAAATACTTAGTAGTTGTGGGGACCATTACAGGAATCAACTATTCCACCAAGGAAAAACTCGGTTGGTATTTCAAATGAGAGGGGAATAGATGATCCCTATTTGCTCCTACATATATTTTACCTGTTACTAGGATAAAACGGAAAACAGACACTGAAATCATAAATAAAAAAATCATAATTTCTAAGCTTCCATTTCGAAAAATTAAATTCCATGCCTTTTCTGTCAAGAATCATTTATTATACTTATTCAGTACTATTCAATACTTATTCAATTAAATCGAAATATGGATCACTTCAATCAGTGCTCTTCTACCAACTTAACACACTTAACACACTAATTCCGTTAGCATAAAAATTGTGTGCTCGGGATTCGATGAAGTTGATGAATGCCGTTTTTGCCTGGTCCTGAATGACGGAAGTTCTACCGGTGACAAAGTTATCGAAGTGCTTGAAAACATGGTAGTCGGTTTGCGAGAGGTCTGGGGAGTACGGTAGGTGAGACAGAACTTCGCCGTTGAATTCGTTTAACTTTCGGACGGTGATTTACGAAACGTCCGTACGGGCGTTGTCGTGGAGCAGGGTCGGACCTTTTCTGTTGACCAGTGCCAGCGGCTGCTGACGCAATTTTCGATACATTTGGTCGATTTCCTCACAGTAGAACTCTGTTGTGATGGCTTGGGCCTGGTGCAGAAGTTATCGTGAATCACACCAGCTGCTGACACTATACAGTAACCATGGTCCTTTTTTGTTGGGTTTTCGCCTTTTGGAAGTGCCTGGGTGGCTCATCGGTGTCCAACCACTATCCTGAACGACTTCTGTTGTAGATGATCCACTTTTCATCACAGGTGACGATCCGAACATAAAAAGATCGGTTTGGTTGCGCAAAAACAAAGAAGAACAGACCTTGAAGGTGACGATTTTTTTCGATCGTTCAAATCTTGAGACACCCACTTTTCGAACCTTTTGATCGGTCCAATACGTTTTAAACCTCAAATCCTGAATTTGTAGAGAAAATTTGGACCAAAATGGATTAACGACACAATATAGTAATAAATATTTATTGAGATGAGGAGCTGTTTGAAAAAAATCTGTTTGAAATATGTTTTTCCGTTAATCAGCTGTCGCCCCCATACGAACGACAACTCTCAGAAGTTGAGAAACTTGTGCGAACTAAGGACTAACGAGGTCTTACTTTTTAACGTGTGATTTCCAACACGGTTGCAGAATTATCCCCGCTGCAACCAGATAAATTATCTCTAAAAAAATATCTGGTCGAGGCGGGAATCGAACCCACGGTCTTCCGATCGTGAGTCGGGCGCACTACCACCGCGACCAATTCCACTTCAAAAACACATGATATCAAAATGGACAAAACTCTCGAAACATCTAATAGTAACTCAAAAAGTACGGAGTTATGGATTTAGTGCAATATGTGCCAAAATTGGGCACTCATAATCTTCACTACATTGATTACAGGATTACTGCATTCTAAGAAAGATGAGGGCACATGATGAGGGCAAGATGGAAAAAAAGAGATCGTTAACAAACGACAAAAAATCTTCAATGTTTTTAGGAATGAAGTAATAACTATTTATGATTTATAAAAAATATGTATATTTTGTATTAAATTTGATAAACCGTTCATGTTTCAATGTATTAGTAGGTACCATTTTCATCTAATTCAGATCACTAACGTTTCCATCTTGCCCTCCTCTCCCTTAGTCACAGTATTGGTACACAATTAGGAATCACACGTTAGGAATCACACGTTAAAAGGTAAGACCTCGTTAGTCCTTAGCTCGCACAATTTCTCTTTTGTGAGTTGTTGTTCGTATGGGGGCGACAGCTGATTAACGGAAAAACATATTTTAAACAGAAACAGAATTGTGGTTTAAACAATATTTTTCGCGAAATCGAGTTGGAACTATCATGCGGTCTACGTACGGTCTTAGTAAGTACCTATTCACATAATTGGTTTCCAGTGATAGTTTGAAAAAAGTTTGAAAAACAAAACCGCTAACATTCTCAATTGGTCTACATTTGATTGTAGTATTTATACATGTGAAATCACCTGTTTCGGGACTTCTCTGCTTTTCAAATTGTATACGCGATCTTCAACTTCTACGTACCTCTTTACTTGTTTTTATTCTACTATATAGAATGACTATAGTAAATAGTTATTTTTTCATTTTCTCTAAAGAAAAATTAGCACATTATCCACAACAATAATTTATAAGAGCCAAAATAATTGAAAAATAAAAAATGGTTGCGTAGAATGAATTGTTGAATTTTTTGCACAATAATATTCAACTAGAGGGACAATTGTTCCAAAAATTGAATAATTTTATCGTTTTCTTTTTTGGTTTAGTACAAATGGTTCCGCACTTGATTTATTCTTATTAATAAAAATTCGTTTGATAATCTCATAGTAACCATCGACCTTGGAATTACTTTAATTCGCAAATCGCAGTAGGTACCAAAGTTCACAAGAGCAAAATAATTGATAAAAACGACTAGGTGTGTACGGCACTGTTTCCTATCTCTAAGCAACCACTCTTCAAAATACTTTGAACACTAGGTGTACTTACCACCAATAGTTTTTCAGAGGAAGAAGGAATATAAGTATCGACGAGAAAAGCACCCCGTGTGAATCAATCAGCTGCGCAACGGTTGAATTCCACGAATTTGAAGGTTATATGGTCCGCGGGTTACTAAACATTTATGACCGTGCCGATAAGACGAATGATAAATGATATATATGACGCCTATAAAAACTTGGTACCCATCGAATAATGAATCTAATCAGTTCGTTGTTCTCCATACCTAGGGATCAGCGTAATCATCAATAAACTTATCATATAAACAAGGTTAGTTGATTACATATTCGGTAGTGGCTGTTATCCCGGTTCCCGGTCACACTCGTTGCAAACTGAGTATTTGTGCATAATAGATGTGTGCATTCAAGTGCATGAATCACTAAAATATTGTCGCAACGAGTGACTCACCTATGTGGAATTATCAAGTGACAACATAATTCCAAAAATAAGGGCAACAGCCTACTGTAAAATTTCGAAAACACTAAGGAGGATGGCTATAGCTACATGTGTAACTTGGGAGACCGGGAAGTCATATACATGTGAAGATTATTGAATGCCTTAATATAAATCCAAGAACAAGTTTCTTCGAACAATAATGTAATAAATGACCGTCGGGTCTGAATTGGCGATCCCTATATAAGTACTGCTAATGAATATATAATAATCATTTCAGTTTACTCGCACCAGAAAAATTCACCCTCCTGTATATGGGATCGTTCAGCCAAAGGTATTTATTTTCTTAATTTAGTTTGGTAGCGTGAGAGTTGCTGCCACCAGATCAGAAAAAGTTTGAAATCCGTCCTGATCACACGGATTGAGAATTAGTAGGCAACTTGGTCAATAGCTGAATTTTTCCTACCTTCTAAACTTCGTGGAGAAATAACTTGGTTATGCCACCAATTATATCCTCAGAGACTGGATTCGGCCACGCCTTAAATGCGTGGTCTTTAAGGGGTTTGAGGGAATGAAATAATATTAGCAGAGTTTTCACAAACCAACTTTATTGATGAGTAAAGTTGGCAGAATAATGGGATTAACAATAAAAAAATTAAATGAACAAAAATTAATACTGAACGTTATTTACACTATATAAAAGCAAAAGAAATATATAATTATAACAGGAGCAAACTATGGATAAACTACTAAAACAAAATGACAGGAGTATTCCTTTGAAAATTGAGTAACTTCACTCAGGGCATAGATATGCCTTGCCTGAATTCTACTAGCTATGCTATAAAACCCACTAAAATACAACTCTGAGAAACTATCAAGATACCCACATAATCGCTCCCCTCTGTATAACGTAGGAAATTACTATGACCTATAATAACCTAATGAAATGAAAAGGGAACCCGATTCGTAGCTATATTATTATGGAAAATGTTCACTAATACCCTAGGTGCCAAGTCGAAAATATAATCCACATACGCATGCAATAAACATCTACACTATATATCAGAATTGTTTAAAATACGCTCACCAAAATTATCGTAGACGGACTCCCCTGAAAACTCCAACAAAAGCCACTATTTCCCCAAAAACTCTTACCAGGAACTCGGAAAAATCACTAAATTGAATAAACCCGCGAATACTTCCAAAACCCAATTAGTATCACTGCTCTAAAGAGTGACTTGAAATATCTCACTATTTCAATTCACTCAAAATTTCCTCTAGAATTTCCAGCTACTGTAGGAAATTTAACTGAATTCACCAAATCTTCGCGCACCACTGCCTTTACCACAAATCAACTAAACCTCGATTATTTATCAATTCCAAAACACCTCGCAAAACGGTGACCTGAACTACCTCGTATTTCAGTACATCCAGAAGTCACTCAGAACTTCGTAGGAAGTCCAACCGACCTACTTCTGAGATCGTACGCTCCTGACTTTTTATCTCAAGTCAGCAAGCCAAATAAAACGCGAATAACTCCCAAATATCGAGATCACTTCTCGAAACCGTATTTCACTCTATTCGAGTATTTCCCAAAACTCTGGAGGAAATTCAACCGGCCTATTTCTGACTTCGTACGCTCCTAACATTTTACTTCAAGTCAGCTAGTCAAATAAACCGCGAATGTTCATCGCACTACTGAAATCCCGTCGCGACCCAGTATCTTAAAACCCCTAGCACCTGAGTCCCTTCAATAGCTTTCCCAGCAACCTCCCCAAAGTGGCGAACTGCCCCGGGCAAGAGCCCCTAAACGACCCTGGGGTCCGCGCACGATTGACTTAATTCTCTCTCAAATATTTCTACCTTAACTCTATTAGGGGATGTAATTCAAATAATCTCATAAAAATTCCCACCAATCAGAAATTCTGAAATTAGTTACGGAACTGGTACTCTTAACGTCCTCTACATGTCCAGCGGATAAGTCCGCAAGAATTACCGTCTAGTTCCCGACATTTCTAATGTCGTGAGTCTGCTACTGATATATAGATGTCACTGCATGGGTTATTTTGATATTTTTGCTGTTTTGAATAGTGGTAGGTAGACTATGCCAAACATTAATTTTATCATGTCGTTAAAATTAAGGCTGACACTCTAACCCCTCGGAACATAAATTTTGATATTTATTATACGTTTAATTGCTTTTTGGACTTTTATTTTAAATGGGGTATACAGAATAGATAACATATTTTCGACCCTTAACGAAAGATAATGAAATGAGTTATGAGATTGAATGTTTCAAAATTTCGAATTTCTCAGCATCAAGCAGTTAATTTTAATGACTTTTCCTTTAAATGGCTTGGCTCTGTTGGCCTTAAGGTTATTTCTGATCTTTCAGAAATAACCTTAAGGGAACCTTATCATCTTGATAAGGTTCCCTTTTTATACGAAAACACATGTGTTTTTGTATCTAAAATTCACGAAAAATATAATATATCCAACTTATTACAATACTCCCCCTTTTAAAAAAAATTTGGCTTAATTGCCATAATTTTTCTCGCTTCATGTTTACTGACAAATACAACAACGCCACCTCATGTCGAATTCAAATATGAAAACAGAATAAGTATCACCTCAAGTTACGCGACTTTCAGTGGGTTGTCCAGCATGCTATGATTAGGGGTTCCCTAACGAAATATTCCAAATTTTACAAAAAAAAAAGTCATTGAAATAGGAGTGATCGTATCTCCTTGTATACTATAGTTCGCGTTATCACATCACAACAGAGGCCATATTCACTCACGATTCACTGTAGTCTTTTACGCCTTGGTGAATTTCCATCTCAATAATTTCCATATGATATGCTACTCTTTGTAACTTCAGTGAAATCTATAGTTATATTCTCATTTCCATATAAAGATGATTGTTCAATGTATAAATTCAATAAAAGAAAGCTGTCATTTCACAAACGACAGTCATAATCAATCAAGGTAACTTCTACAAAAAAAGGTTGATTCATTTTTTTTTCATCTTTCATTTTCAAGTCTAGAAAGTATTTTCACATTTTTTAAAAAAAACCTATTACATCTATTTATAGTTTATAGTCTGGAATAACAAAGAGTTCTTTCAACATTATTTTCTGCATCCCCAATAATTATATTCATATGACGGTTATATATAGAGACTAAGTATGTTAAATCAAATTGTCCATTATCGAGAACTACTGAAAGATACAAAAAATCGACCTAATGACTCACGATAATCCAAAATCTGTTTTGGCTGTATCTTCTTTATCAACAAAAAAATTCAAAATCTGATTAGTTTGTCTCGCAAACTTTCAATTATCTACCTATCAGATTTTTAACTGAGAACTTATATTCTCTGATAGTTTTTTGATAGACATTTTTCATATCATACTTAACGTTATTTGTGACAGTTCCAATTCAGTTTAATTTTTGTTCGGTCACAAAAATGGTTAGAATGTTTCTTTGGCCCCTATAGCTGGTTCTCAAAAAGTGCAGCGTGTGTCCTCTTTTTCCTGTGAAGCTTTTCCATGTCGCATATAGATAAAGTACACGCCAACTAAGATGAGCCAGCGCAGAAACGTAAAATCGTTCTGTGTTAAAAGACTCCCCCCACTTGTCATATTTCGCTAATGTACTATTGACATCAGTTTGTGTGACCAATAGCTATCTTCTGGACGGGTACAATTTGGTTTTAAATGCAAATCAAAATCTCATCTATGTTGGCGCGTACTATATACCTGATTTTATTTCTACAGTTTTCAGTACTGGTTTCTGGAATATTTAACTTTCAACAGAATAATCGTATGAACTTGAACTTTAAACTGCTAACAAGATGTTTTTAGAAAATCCAGAAACTATATAAACAAACAAAAGTACCTACATGATGAAAATGTTATTCAATATAACCCCAATTTAATGAAATAATTAATAGTTCAAAGAACTAAAAAAACACGCTTAATAGCAAAACAAAATAATTGTGTCCAATATCGATAATAATAATGGCTTTATGTAACTAATGACTTTAATTTTGTTGTAAAAAAGCTTGGTGTGCTAAATATCCATTGTGATAAACACTTGGTTAGGAGCTGTTTGCCAGATTGCATCCCACGCTTTTTTAAAACAAAATTATTTTTTTCATAAATAGATTTAGGTATTCTGATTTCAGACTTATTAAAAGTCATTACTTACATCAAGCCATAGGACTTATCAATGTTGAACACGATCTTAAATTAGTTTCGAATCATTTTTTAGTTTGTGTAGCTATTAAAGCGTGTATTTTTAATTTTGTGAACTATTTTATCTATTTTCCACTTTTTAGTTTGGCTTGCTATTTCAAGCCCATTTGTTGTATATAAAAAATATATACGCATGCACAGATAGTGTGGTTGTCTCACTTGCTCTCACACAGAGACTGTGTGAGGAAATTACTTAATCCTGGCTATCCTGATCAGGATAATGAGATAAACTTATGAAATAATTGTATTAACACCGATTCTTGATAAGTGTACAAAGTTTAAAATACATCTGTCCGTTTAAAGTTAGTCAAAATCGAGTCCAAAGGAGTCGGTTACAAACAAACAGACAAGTGAAGCTAATAGAAGCGCGTTAATAAGAGAATGATTTATCCTCCAGTTCTTCTAAACAGTCAGTCCATTTTTTGTTTAACGGTTTTATTTAACTTACCCTGTTTGTTTATTTGGGTTAAATTTGGTCATTGAAGTTTGATTCCCTTCCTGTTGACAGATTGATCTGAAATTGGGTACACATTGTCATTGTTGTGCGTGTGTTTTTGAAAATGGATATAAAAAAGTTTTTTGAACTTACGTAACCAAATATAGTTACCTATTAACAAACATGTATTTAATAACAGCTAAGAAATGATTTGCAAATGTAGAGTGAGGGACAACATGAGTCCCTGCTGGGCTAGCCGTAGTGCGTACACGCTAAGCAACCCAATAAATGTGCTTTTGTTTTTGTCGTATCCACGTTTAGGTATTGTTCCTGTCCGCGTGATAGTGAGAGTTAGTCCGCGCCATGAAAAAAGTCCGAAAAACCTGGCGTAGTGTTTCTACGTAGTTTATTCCTTCTTTAATATCGTTTACTATACTGGTACTACTTTAGTTCATATTAAAGCTGCGGGACTTCTTTTTCGGCACGGTCTCAAAGTAGGAGTGAACGGTGGCACACATATGCTAGTTACATAATATGCTAGTTATTAGATATATTAAATGAGTACATTTCATTTCTCATTATTTGATGAACCCAATTTTATTTCAGATTCATTTAGATATTTAATAGCATAGGTATTTTTGTTTCAGGAACTTTGAAAAGGAAAAAACAAGAAAGTATTAGTGAAAATGATGAAAAAAAAGACCGAAAGAAACTTATCACAGAATTCACTGGCCCAAGCTGATTCCTCTAAAGTCGAAAATATACTTAAAGATAAAGATGTTTGTGATAACGATATCGGCAAATGGGTAGGGCGAACTTCTTTAATGACAATTCAAAAATTAGATATGCTCAAACTTGGTTGGGTACCTCCTGAAAGTTACGACTTTGCCAAAGATGCCGTAGTCGCTAATCTCAAACGTAAATTCAATCATAGTTGGGTGCAAACTTATTCGCCCTGGCTGCGCCTAAAGGTACACTGTGTTTATATTTTTCACCCAAAGTTGTAGCTGGTGGTTTATTTGTAACTCAATCGCTTTGCCGCTTTAAAAATATTCATGAATAATTCGTTAAGCATGTCTCATCACAATATCATAAATTCGAAGTCGACGAAGAGATTTTTTTTCGGAACAAATGCCTGTGGTTGTAATGATGAAAACGGCTGATCAGCCAAAAATTGAGAAAAATAAAAACATAGTGCCCTCTATAATTTCTACAGTTATTTTTTGTGGCACTCATGACTTACCTTTGAGGGGTAAAGAGAATCATGAAGGTATTCTTGAAGACCTTTTAAATCTGAGCATTGAATTGATTTGAAACAACATTTAGAACATGGGGAAAAATACATCCCCACAGATTCAAAACGAAATTGTTGATTTATGCGGCTTGGTTGTGAATTATTATATTATACAGGTTGCAAAGAAAACTTGTCCTTATTTATAGTGTCATGGCAGAAGAGTCATGTGACATACTTGAAAAGGAGCAGCTTTCCATTGGAATCCGTTTTTATAACGAAAGTAAAAATATGATATGTAAAAAGTTTCTAGGATTCGTAGAATTGATTAATAGATGCCAATAATATAGCGTCAGAAATTGAACACCCATCGTAGCATTGGCTACGCTACGCTGAAAGTATTGGTGGCGTTCAAGAAAAAACAAAAAACTGAGGGAGAAATATAAAAAAGACTTACCACAATCGGTACGTTGAAAGATATAATCAGTTTTTTCCGAAATTTTTCTTTGAAAATAAAATATGTTCCTAACATTATGGCCTTATGTGAGACACCCTGATCGCAAAAATATAACAGGGTTGCCTTTCTCAACAAACATTTTGAGGAAATCATTAATGGACCGGCAAAGATATCTACAGATATCTGCTGCAAGAAAAATTGTTTTTCAGTAACATTGTGTTGCTACTTAATCAGTATTCATTATATGTGTTAAGACAAATATTCAGCTATATTGGAACCTGTTGCCAATGAATGAATGAAAGAAAGTTTTTGGCTTTCTACTACTCCATCTTGATACAAAAATAAGGGATGAGGGAATCTTCCAATGATAGGAAGGAAGTAATCAACACACTGAATTATACAGAAGATACTTTTCTCTACTCAGTTTGTATTTCAAACATTCGTTGTGGAATAAAAATCAGATATCATTCACATGAGTTCTACTTTGAATGAATGGTAATAAATTGCACTCACATGAATGATATCTGATTTTTATTCCACAACGAATGTATGAAATACAAATTGAGTAGAGAAAAGTATCTTCTATATAATTCAGTGTTCATATAGAAGTATTTGTTTCGAAAGTTTTTTTTTTCGTGTAATTCAATGTTTATATGAAAGAAGCTGTTTCAGGAGGACCTTCTTTCAGTTCGTGTCTGAAAGTTACTTCTTTGCATGATCTACACATCCATGTATGAAGTTACTTATTTTCAAATTGATTACTTCCTTCCTATCATTGGAAGATTCCCTCATCCCTTATTTTTGTATCAAGATGGAGTAGTAGAAAGCCAAAAACTTTCTTTCCCAAAAATTAATCACTCCTGAAAATATAACCCCTTCAATTCAAATATTTTATTTGTACATTTATTTGTACATTTGTACAAATTATTTCTACATATTATTGAAGACCATCGCAGTAAGGCAAACAAAAAAAATGAGAATATTTCAGACATTTTACATATACCTAACAGCAGCTGCCAGCATTCCTTATTTAGATTCACCGATATCCACACTCGAAAGACGCGACGTTTTTCTAACGAATATTTATCAGTTTTTAGTTTAATGTCGCTACATCCCAGTTCAGTGTTGTATATGACACTGGTTGATTTTAAAGAAAAATCACAAGATCTCTGCCAGTACTTTTATGAGATATTAAAATATGTAAAATCGCACACAATCAATTTTCCTACTAGAATACTAGAAATTCCCTACAAAATTAAAACAAGTACAATAAAAAATTTGGCTCTCAAACAGTATAACTATCAAATCAGAGAGTTGCTCCTGGATAAATTCTATTATTCTCTCAAAGAATATATGGATGATAACTTATGACCCTGTATATGTGTAACATTTTAGGAAGATTTCAACAACGATGCTGTTACATAAATAACAGATTATTTTTTGTTTTGACTTTTATATATTATATTATTTATGTAAATTGTATATTATTGTACCTCTAAGTGCAAACAATTTGTATTTTCAAATGACATAGTTAATTATATAATACATAATAATTTAAGCAGGTATTTATATTTCATTATAACATGAAATGAAAAATGAAATATAAATAAATAAATGAGTGATAATCCACAAAAACATATGCTTGTCGTGGAAAAATTAAAGAAAATAATGATAGTAAAGGTAAAGTATAAAGGTGTATACGTGTTGACGAAAGATCAATTACCATATACATATACATGCATACATATTTTGACTATTATTTTGTCACTTCATTTCCACTTACGATGCACTGTTTGGAACCTTTGGCGTAGTAAAGAATATTACTGGAGTTTTGGTGTTGGGAAAAAATTCCAGTGATATTCTTTACTTCATTTCCAAAAAAGTTAGTCAAAATCAAAAAATATGTGAACTCCAGGTGGATAACTACTGAGTTGAGAGAAATTAGTAGAAGGTTAACTGAGTTATCTGAGCTGAACAAGGTAGGTATATAAAAACGGGTTACATCATAGTGAATATCAAGAACAATATATCAGGTTTAATTGAAAAATGCTAAAAAACTTGCAATGGTGATAGAATATCTTCTGCTGACAATAAGGTGAAAGAATCCTAGAAAATCATCAAGGAAGCTCAGAATGGTTATACTGGCAATGTCATACCTTGTCTACAAAGTGCTGAAGGTGGAGACATTCTTTCTGATAATTTTGCTATATGCAACCTTTTCAGTGACTATTTCTCAACTGTCAGTAGTAGCATATCCAAAACTGACACCAAAAATATCAATTATATGTCATCTGCTCATCAAAGTATTTATTTATATCCAGCAACTAAAATGGAAATTGAACAAGTTATAAAAAAAGTTTGTAAGAAAAAATCGCCCGGTATTATTTTCTTCTGGTCAGAATGCTTATAGAAGAAATAAATCTACAGTTGGTGCAATTGATCAACTCATTAAACATTCGCTGGAAATCTTGGCAAACAAACAGCAGACTTTAGGATTATTTTTTGATTTGAGCATAGCCTTTGACCTCGTTGACCATGACATACTGTTACAAAAATTGCAGTTTTATGGTATATGTGGCTCTGCATTGAATTGGGTTGGATATTACCTGACTGATCATAGTCAGCTGGTCTGTGTGAATGGAATGAATTCTGAAAGAAAATGTATATCAAGAGGGGTACCTCAAGACTCTGTTTTGGAACCTCTTCTATTTTGGGTTTCTATAAATGATCTTCAAAAATTTTGTTCAAAAGCTTCCATTACTGTTATTTTTGAGGACGATACTAACACCTTAGTATCTGGGGGAACCATGTCAGAAGTAAATGTCAAAACTAATAAAGTAACTGACCAAAATTCTGAGTGGTGTTCTATAAATGGCCTGCTGATAAATCTTAAATGCTCAACTTTGTTACTAAAAATACAACAATTGATAAAAGCTATTTGGTTAGATTAAATAATGAAACTGTACATTAAGTTAATTGTACTAAATTCTTAGGTGTTGATATTGATAATAAACTTACCTGGAAGTGCCATGTTGATAGTGTCAAACTGAAGCTCAGTAAACATATACATTTACTTCGTCCGTTAAAACAAACAGTCTCTCTTGATGTTCTCAAGCTTCTATACCAAAATTTAATTCAGTCAGTTATTTCCTATGGTCTTGAACATTGGGGCTTATCAGCTAAAGCTGATGAAGTGTTTGTTATTCAGAAAAAGGTAATCAGAATTCTGGCTGGTGCATCTTCAAGTGAACACTGCAGGCCATTATCCATTTGTTATAGTTTATTAACAATGCCTAGTTTGTATATCTACCAAACACTGATATATATATAAAAAACAATATTTCAATTATTCCTAGAAATGAGCAAATCCATGAACATTTCACCAGAAATAACTCTCAACTACATCAACTACATTGACAATATCAAAGAATCACCCCATATGCATTGGGGTTAAGCTATATAATAAGCTCAGTGAGGACAATAAATCCTCAAATATCAATATTTTTAAAAGGCGACTCAAGATTTTTCTAAAAAAACAATACTTCAATTATTCCTAAAAATGAACATTTCATCAGAAATAACTCAACTACATCAATCTTATAGTAGATTGACAGTACCAAAGAATCAACCCATATGCATTGGGGTTAAGCTATATAATAAGCTCAGTGAGGACAATAAATCCTCAAATATCAATATTTTTAAAAGGCGACTCAAGATTTTTCTATTGCAAAAAGCATACTACTCTGTGAATGAGTTTCTCCTTGATTCTTAATTTGGATTGTAGCTTATTAACTTTTTATTTTTTATGTATGTTTTATATTGACTTTTTTATGTTTGTTTGACCTGTTGAATCAGCCAGTATTTTATGATGATGTAATTTTTTTTTCTTGTCTAATGTGATTGTGAAGGAAAACTGATTCAATGAATGTTTGATTGATTGATATACACATATATAAATGAAGCTATTTGAGACTTATAGTATCGATACTTTTTCATTGAAGAAAACTTAGTCTACAATGAAAACAAAGACCTCTGTAGAACAGTCTTTTGGTCCTATTGTATCATTTCAGAAATTATTCTTTATATCGATCAGTTGATGGGTGAATGATCTAGGAAGGTTTGAAATCCAATTTTTCAGTTCACTGGGAACTGCATTATATACTCTGGGTTTGAGGAAATATGACGAACGTGAGACGAAAGGCAATACGAGGTGGTTATCTCCTTTCCGAGTATCATATATGTGCACATAGTAATTTTTAGATCCTTCTTTTTTCTGCTTCTCAGCAGCATGTTGGTATATACCTACGGTGAGGTCCTAAAGTTACGGATATTTTCAAAAGAGTAGTTAAATATTAGAATCTATGTACTATGCTTGTGTAAACGTGATCATTGATGTCATTGTCGGTGGATGAGGAGATATCTTTTCTGAACAAAACCAATATTTTTATGCATCTTTTTCTTTTTCAAATAATTCTAATCTAAGCTTCAATAATTTTTTTTTTTGAAAGAAAGTTTTTAGCTTTCTACTACTCCATCTGATACAAAAAAAATTTAGGAAGTAATCAATTTGAAAATAAGTCACTCTATACATGGATGTGTAGATCATGCAAAGAAGTAACTTTCAGACACAAACTGAAAAATTTTATTCTTACAAAATATAACTTTTCAAAGTAAAGTTCAGCATTCATTCGCAGCGACGTGAAAAACAGTTCTTTTTACCATCCACTGTTTTCTTTTTCTCAAGAACTGAAAAAACTCTTCAAAATAATCAAAACAAACATTTTTTTTCACTCACCAAGCAACGGTGTCCCTATTTCGATTTCAGTATGTCTTCTGTCATATTCTAGTTTAATAGACTCTTCAAATGCCAGGGCGGCTATTCTTTGGAACAATTTCACAATATTTTTGCCAGTTTTCGAGGAAACAATCCAATACTCAGCCTTCAATTTTTCAGCTAACTTCATTGAACTTCTTTCCATGTGATTATAATTTAAATTTTTCTAAAACAGTTTTACTATAAAGTTTTGATTAATAACCTCATTTCTTAAAACTGTCTCTTGTAAAAAGCCTACTAAATATTTACAATCCACAAATGAACAAAAGAGTCAGTCCTGATAGGACCGATTGAAAAGATATTGATCAGTTAGAAATGTTAGTGCGTTTCTATTGGTTGAAGAATCCATTGCAATTTTTTCATAGAATTTGAGAACTAGCCTAAGCTGCGAAGGAGATGGAAAGGCCTTTTTCTTGTTGGTCAAGCAGATAAGCAACTTAGTTGATCATTACATCCAACTGCACAAAGAAAAACATCACTTATCGTCAACGTAGAATGATTGGCTTTCTACAGTGGTAACGATCTTTACGTTAGTATTGAGCAGGCAAGTTACTTGGGACGGAGTAACATAAAGATCAATATGAAACAGTACACAGATATGTTATCGATAAAAAACTTCGTATCCTGTTTCATAATTGAACCCACATACTCGAAATTATTGTCAACACACTCCACAGAACATAAGAATCACTAATTCAAGATTACTTTTGAAATTAATTTTTACCAGAAGATCATGTTTTGTTCCAACTAAAAATAATAGAGGACGTTTGGAAGGCGACGTTTGCAATGCTTCATTCAGCCATACTTCGCAATTTGATAGTGACCCAGGGTTTGATAAATCAAATACCAGCACTATAACTGGAAAAAAAAAGGTTTTATAAACTGTATTTTTCCTCCCATTTGGTGTTACCATGTGCTCCTCTGTAATACGATTGAGCAATTGATTTAAATCTTTCTTGACCAGCTGTGTCCCATCTAAAAAGATAAAAATATATATATTCATCAGTAAATGAAAAATATAATAGATTGTATGAGGAAAGCGCAAAAAATAGCGAAGTTCAAACCACTTCTGATGTAAGTAAAATTTCACGGATGGTAAAATAAAAAAAAAAATTTTTTCAGGAAAACAACCGTTCTGTTTTTTTCAATGGACATTTTGCCAGTATCTCAGCTATCACTCTCAAGTTGTATTAGTTGTTCATAGTAAGCGTAACTGAAACTTACAAAGCACCAGTTAAGTTCATTTTGTGAATAGCAGCAGAGATGTTGGCAAAACGTCTTTGATAAATGAAGAACTTATGTGTCACACCAATAGGTGATTCCACTTATGTCTTGCTTGCCTTTACGAAGTGATTTCAATGAAGTACTAGTCTTGGTTTTTCACAGTTTTTCTTCAATTGATTTGAATCAGAATATATCCATGAATCTTTTATACAGGGTGTCATTTAACTTGGGCCACCCCCATCTTTGAATTTTTATACACGGACCTGTATTTTTGTTGTAATTTTTGGATTGTAGACGTTCACTTCATACTGAGAAATTAAATTCAATTTTATATTTCGGGATTTTTCGGTAATATTCGATTATAATTGTGTGAATTATCACCTTTTGAAATACGGCCCTGGAAATTGTTTGACTGAGTTGAATAAAAACACAATAGCAACTTTCACGTCTCCCTTTGTATCGTACAGTTTTTCGAGAGTTTTTTTTCATTTCATGAACTTCGAATAAGAAAACCTTTTATGATTATCTGAAACATATCTACAACAAAAATATATATATGTGTTTTGATGAGCAGAAAAAAATTGTAGCAACGAACACTATAATTATAAAGAAAATTGAAATGAAGTAAGTCATTTATATACACAAAAAAATTAATTGTTCAATAAATGTTCGAATTGGAGTCCTTCCATTTCGAGACAAATAATATGGGACAATAAGATGGTCTGCAAGATCACTATTTTGGACTATTTTCTATGGGGGACATTGAAAATAGGATTTACGCTGGCATAGAGATAGAAAATGTGGAAGACTCAAGATTGAGGATTTTGAATGATTTCGCAACAATGCAGCAAATAAGTGTATTAAGGGCAATAAATAATATGAAAAACCGAGTTTGAAAATGTCTCGAAAAGGAAGGACTCCAATTCGAACATTTATTGCGCCAATAATTTTTTTGGGTACCTATATAAATTACTTAATTTCAATTTTCATTACAATCATAGTGTTCGTTCCGGATGTTATTATTGCTATCATTTCTTTTTCTGCTTAATGAAACACATATAATATATTTTTTATGTAGATATGTTTCAAATAATCATAAAAGGTTTTCTTTTTCGAAGTTCATTGTAGAAAACGCTCAGAGCAATGGAAAAAATATGAATAGGTACTCTACGATACATAGGGAGACGTGAAAGTTACTATTGTTTTTATTCAACTCAGTCAACTAATTTCCAGGGCCGTAATTTTATTTCACAAAATTATGATCGAATATTACCAAAACATCCTGAAACATAAAATTTCATTCAATTTCTCAGTATGAAGTGAACGTCTACGATCCAAAAACTACAACAAAAATACAGGTCCGTATTCAAAAATTCAAAGATGGGGGTGGCCCAAGTCAGATGACACCTTGCATAAAAGATTCATGGATATATTCTGAGAGCCCACATCAAGTGCCGATAGCAAAATGTGGACAGATTTTTGAAATGACTGCAAATAAAGAAGATACAGGCAAAAAAATTATTTAGGATTTTTTGGTTTTTCCTATATATCTCCAGAACCAAAAGAGCTATATTCGATTTGTTTACATCATTGAATAGGTCTCTAAAATACGCAACTTTGCCATAATTTAACCGATACTCTATCTCTTATCGTTTACGAGATCCCCATGTACAGAAACGAATTTGAATAGCATGGTATTTTTTTGTTTTTCCTGTATATCTCCAGAACCAAAAGAGCTATATTCGATTTCTTTACATCATTAAATAGGTATCTAAAACACACCACTATGCCACAATTTAACCGACACTCTATCTTTTATCGTTTACGAGATCCTCATGTACAGAAACGAATTTGAATAGCCCTGTATATCTGATTTCATATTAATTGAATTTATTTTTTTATTGGTGTGAATCACTTCAAAAAAGGAATGGTTTTTGAACTGCTCTTAATATCCCATATAAATGTATAGAATAAAGAATATAACTTTTGTCTAATTTCTACTAATGATTCACTGTTTGGAACCTTTGGTGTAGCAATGAATATTACTGGAGTTTTCTCCCAACACCAAACCGTTATTTTTAACACCTTGACAAGTGTTTCGATCACCGAGTTATCATCTTCAAGAAGAAGATTTAACTGAGGAAAGCTAAGAGGAAGATTAATCTTTCTCTTGAAGATGATCACTTGGTGATCGAAACACGTGTGGAGGTGGTAAAAATAACGGTTTGGTGTTGGAATAAAACTCCAGTAATATTAATTTTCATTTTATTAGACCTTTATTAGACCATTAGACCAGTATGACCAACATGGCATCGGCGAAAGGTGTACCCATGAGTGCTCCTGATAAAACGCGTAAGAGATGTAAGAAAGTGCCATTATCTGGCCTTAGATGTGTGAACTGTGACAGTGTTTCTCATCCTGGCTGCCTTAGGCAGTTGAATAATATTCAGTTTATTGACGACAAGACTATAAAGTGCTGCGAAGTTGAAAATTCGAATGCTAATATGGCGGATGATAAAGATGACCATGTGAATGTGTCTTTCACTTGTGCCACCGACCTGACAGATGATGACAGTAAACTGGAAATTTCTCACTTAAAGAAACTAATCAAGCAAAAAGACATACTAATTTACTCGAAGACAAAATAACCATCCTTGAGGAATATATAACATTAATAAATAAAACAAACAAGCCTACACCAATGCCATCTTGGACCCAGATATCAAAGGATAAAATTATTCCACAAACGACTCGAAATGAGGCCCTGAAGAAACCCACTAACATAGAATCTTCAGCCAAACCGGAACAGCCCTCTCTATGCCAGAGTCCGAAACAAACAGTCCCAAAGGAAGATAACATATCAAAATCCAGACAATCATGTTACACTTGGTCTACACCACCTCCGGTTGGTGGCACTGTAAGTTCAAAAACAAACATGGCACAACACCAAAACAATGCAGACCCAAAGAATATAACCAAGCAGAACGTTGCGATTGCATTAGAGACTGTCAATAATACTTCGAATGCAAAGAAAGCGAACTCCAATATTCATGATGACGATGGTTTTATTACTGTTGCTTATAAAAAGAAGACAAATACATCCACTGTTGCTGGGAGCTTGAGTGATCTCTCAAAAAATGATTTGAAAGCGATGGATAAATTGGTTTTCTTCACGTATTCAAAATGCATCCAGATATAACACCAGAGGAACTCACGCACTACCTAAAACAACTTTTTCCTGAGGTTGTTTGTGAGAAAATGCATTCTACATATCCTCGGTATTACTCAGCATTTAAGGTAACTATTCTTGACTGCAATCTAAAAGCTGCGATGTCTTCTTCGATATGGCCTAAGGGAATGCGCATTGAAAAAACGATGGCACTGTGATAGATTTTTCTGTAAACGGCTCAACTGAAATGTCCTTAAAACAAAAAAAATCACTTATAATTTTACACAAAAATATACAATGTATCGCTAACAAAATTGATGAAATCAACCTATTCCTGAAAGATAAAAATATAAGTATTCTATGTTTTTCTGAACACTGGCAAACTGAGCTAAATTTGAAAAGCATCAATATACAGGGATATTATTTGGCTAGCTATTACTGTCGAAGTAAAAACCTGTATGGTGGTGTCTGTATTTTCGTTAAATCAAATATCACATGCCGTACTATAACAACTTCAGCTTTCAACACAGAGTTTCATTCTGAATTTTGTGCACTGGAGATAACCAATCTGACATTAGTAGTTATCGCTTCTTACAGATCTTGTGTAGGCGATTTTCAGGTATACCTTAATCATCTCGAAGAGCTACTATGTGAGGTGACGAACAAAAAATGCAGCATTATCTTGGCCAGAGATTTCAACGTCAATTTTAAAGCAGAATCACCCGATTTGTCACAATTTTTGAACATACTAGAATCCCATACAGACTTCCAAGTCTGCCTCTTGTATTGATAACTGATATCATACCTGATTGTCGCACAGTGGGAGTGTATGATCCATGTTTATCTGACCACTCGTGCCAGTTCATTATCACACCCTTGGGTAAAGAAAATACAGATATAATGTTCAGAAGGCATTACTCAAGCAAAGCATTAGAAACATTCAGAAATTCTATAGCCCAGGTTTACTAGCAAATGTTTCATGAATCCTTGAGTGATGTTGATAAATCAATAAACTGGCTCGTAGAAACATACAGTGAAGTAACAAAGAAATGCTTCCCTCAAAAAAAGTACAACCCGAATAGACACCCCTGTAAACTGGTTCAATGATGAATTGGTAAGCGAAAAATTCTGTCAACTGTGAAGTTAATCGCAAACAGCACGAATGATCCTGACAACTGATCGACATACAGAAAATTGAAGGCGGATTACAGAAACTCCATTATTATCTCTAAAAAAAAGCCTATGATTTTTTTTTATTTTCTACTAAAAATATATCGAAAGATAGCTGGCACATCGTTAATTTCGAATTCAACAAAAACTCTAAATGACAACTCATCTTTCAGTCCAGACGAGTTCAATATATTCTTCAGTACAATTGCTGACAATATTATAAAAACAATACCAAGTTCCTCTCTTACTACTTCTGATCTTTTGAGAAATTTACCATCTCCAAAATCAAGTTTCTTCTTAGCCCCAGCCACTCTATACGAGGTCTTGTCAGCTATACGTAAACAAAAAAAAATCAGTTCAGAAGATGCTTTAGAAATAAATGCATTACTTATCAAAGAAACATCGGAAATTT